TGGACTCAGGCAGGAAGAACAGAGTGAAGAAGAGAGGCGAGTGCCCAGGGCCTGTGTGGGTGCCAGGCACGGGTGCCTCTACTGGTGCACTGCACTGTTCGGGGAGGCTCCGGCGGGCTCTCCAGGTCTGCTGCGGGGGGTCGCGTTTTATAGCTGAGGGAACTGAGGCTCCAAGGGCATGATTAGCCTGACGCCCGGGGTAAAGGGAGGGCAGAGACTTGACTTACTCTCTCCAGATTGCCTCCCTGTCCTGCAGTTGTCTACTCAGCATAATGAAGGGCCCAGGAGTGTGGCTCACAGCCCGCGTGGGACCACTGCTGACAGATGCTGCCTCTCAGGGAGCACAACAGGATTCTGCAGACACCCATCTGACCTCTTAGATTCAGCATCTGGAACCAGTGGTGGCAAGCGGTGGCATGGTGGTTAAGGCAGCTGGATCCCACATGGCCAACTATATGTTTTGAGTCCTGGACCTGGCAGCTTGAAAAACATTGGTTGTTGGGACCAGCAGGTGGCATGGTGGTTAAGGCTACTGGACTCCCACATGGCCAGCTATGGTTTGAGTCTGGGACCTGGTGGTTTGCTTTCTCACTTTGCTTCACTCTCTCTCTCACTCTGTCCTTCTCTGGAAAAATTTAAATAAATAAATAATTATTTAAAAAAAAAGAAAGAAAAGCATATTGATACAGGTATGTGGGTACCCAAAATCCCAAGAAGAGAATGGAGAATGGATTGCGGCATGACCATTCTCGAGGGGGCGGGGAGAGGCGGGATGATTTCTTTCTCTCTCTGGTTAAGCACACATGCACTACAGCAAAATAAAAAATTAAAAAGAAAAAGATTTGGGACCAGTAGTTAGCGTAATGGCTATGTCGCTGGACTCCCCCGTAGTCGACCACGGTTCGCATCCCGGACCCGGGGGCTTAAAACTCACGCCGGGTGTGTGTGCATGCGTGCCCAAGATCCTGAGAGGAGAATGGAGGAGAAGGGATTGTGGCGTGACCATCCCCCCTGGGGGGTGATTTCTTGCTTTCTGTCTCTCTGTCTCTGTCTGATGAGTGAACGCGCCCTATAGCGAAAAACCTCTCAAAAAAAAAAAAAAGATTTAGCATCTGTAACTTTAGAAGGCGGGATTGATTGACAGCTCAGTGGTTGTCATACTGGGTTTCTGGACATCTTGACATCCCCTGGAGATTGGGCACAGGCCAAGTGAACAAGCGTGTGGGGCCCCAGCCCAGCTTCCACCTGAGATCAGTTTCAGGAGCTGAACATTTACAGACACTTGTCTTTGACTGAAGGTTCCATCCACTAACTGTATGGTCTCCGTGGTCCCCATCTGAGGTCTCTGCAGCTGTGGCTCCCTGGGAGTGTGAGCAGTGCAGATCCTGGGCCGGAGAGAGAATCTGGAGGACCTGGTGAGAGAAGGGGGTAGATGGCGTCTGGGCTTCTATCTCCGTGGAGATGCAGGTCAGGCAGTGAGAGCAGCCCATGCCAGGGAAGTGAGCTGTAGGCACCTGCCTCTGCGCCCAGGAAATGCAAACAGACCTTTGGCCATGGTGGCCTGGGTACCAGAGCCGCACCCACCCTCCCGGGGCCCAGACCAGGGCCCCTTTCCCTTTTTCTGCCCGGGCTTGTTGTCAGTGCAGTCGGCTGCGTTGCCGGCGACCTCGTGGTGTAGTTCCCGACTGCTTGCTCTGGTCGCTTTAAGGCGGAAGCTGAGCAAAGGCAAAGATGCTCAGGGAGAGGAAAGCACCCAGTCAAGGGACGTTCAGGGAGTGGGCCGTCCTAGAAAGGAGAACCCTGCTCCGTGCCCCTGACTGGCCATCCTCGACCAGTCTGGCCTTCTGCCTCAGTTTTCCCTTTGGGGACGTGGGCATGAGAATGGTGCCCCTCTCCGGGTGACACCAGCGTGCATAACTTGCAGAACAGCATCATCTTCTCGCTCTTGGTGGAGGAGAAAGCTGAGGGCTCCAGATGCCCAAACGCTAGACCTCCTATTCCATGGCGCCCAGGCCTGCCTCTGACCACCATTCGCCCTCAACCTACTGCAGGCCCAGCCTCGCCCCACATAAGCAAAGCTGCCAGCAGGGTCCTTTGTGGTGCTGCTCCCGTGTGGCACTGCCTGGGGGCCCCACCACGGGGCAACAGATGGACCTATGGTCTCTCCAGAACAATGGGGGGGGAGGGGCCCTGGCATCGCCCGCCCCAAACAGGAAGCACTGCATGAGCTTCAAAGGGCTGGCAGGGCTGAGGGGCCGAGCGGTGGAGCCAGAGCCAGGACTGGCTTCTGCCTGTAGAGATGCCTGCCAGCCTCGGGATGCCCAGCCCTGCCGTGGGGGTGAGGCGTGGCTGCGGTGGCTGGGGCAGCTGGTCTTGGGCAAGGGGATGCCTTGCACCCTCGGGACAGCAGTGGCTGACCTGGCAGCGGGGTGGGGAAGGGGGCTTGGGCACGGGCCTTTTCCCAGGTCGGCGGGTGCCAGCGGGGCTGCAGGTTCTTTCCCAGGCCGCAGTCTGGCCCTCCAGCAAGTACGCGAGAGGGGCAGGGCTGGCCCAAGGCCTGCTGCCCACTCCCTGCCTTCTGCTCCCAGCTGCTCGGCTCAGAGCCTTTTCCTCTCCACTTCCTGTTCACACAGGGGGGGGCGGGAAGTGGAGGGAGGAAGTTGGGGGGAGGCGTGTAGGGGGACCCATTGAATAAAAGGAATTAACCGTTTCCCTCCTCTGACCTCTGGGAATTTCCGCCTGTGAAAGTGTCTCGAAGAATCGGTAGAGCTGGGGGAGAGGAGAGGTGTGCCCCCTCCGGGACCCTCCCCCCACGGCGGTGGTGGTGGCGGTGGGGCCAGATAACTCCCTCAGGGCCCCTAACCTTTTGTTTCCCTGGCGCCAGGGGGCCAGCGCCAAGGGCAGCCTGGAGCCCGCCTCAGAGCCCCCTCCCAACCAACGGGGTCGGTGCCAGGGCCGGCTTGTGACCTGAGCCTTGGGTGAGGGCAGGAACAGCGCGAACTGGGGGTCCCAGGGGGGATGAGCTCGGTCCAAGGGGTCCGGCTGAGCCCCGCGACCTCGGCCAGGGCTGGCGCCCTTGGCCAGTCGGCCTAGGGTACAGAAGAGAGGGGGCTCTGGGGCTGGGGCGGCACACCCTCCAGTGGCCACGCCCCCGGGCTCTGGCAGGGAGCGGTGGGTTCGAGACGTCAGTAGACAGCGCCCCCTTGTGCCCGCCGTCCACTCGGCAGGGCGGCCCCCCAGGGCCCTCTCAAAGGCGGGCCTCAGGAAGCACCTGCTCCCCAGGACCAGTGGCCGCCCTGCGTCTCCCCCAGGTGGCTTCCTTGTTTACAAGCCTCCTGCCCTGGTCCCAGCGTCACTGCCTGTGGCCACTCCTCCTATTTCCAGTGACCGCTCCAGGAGCAGCTCATTCATCTTGGCCCCTGCCCACGCAGCTGCTCCCCCACCCCACCCCCTTCTGGCCCACCACCAGGCTTAGGGCCAAAGCCCTGAAGGCCTCCTCTCTGCTCTCCATTCCTGGCCTTGCTTGGTTTCCAGAGATCTGAGAGCCGTGGCTTCCCGTTGCCCTGACTCACCGGAACCCCACTCGGTCGATGCCAGGGAAGCCTGGGGCCTTTTCCCAGGAAAGAGGAAGCAGCCTAGGACCAGATGGGCGGCTTAGGAGAAGACAGAAGGGGAAGGGGCATCCCAGGCTGCGCTGGCCAAGCCCTCTGGGTGCAGGGCAGCAGGGTCGTGTTTGTTTAGCTAACATGTATTAGGCACCCATTATGCAGAGAAGCCCCAAGCTGTTTTCTCCACGTAAACAAGTGACCACTCCAGTGACAAGGAACTGAGCCGCCCGAGCCCGGGGTTTGTCTAGGTGTGAGGGAGAGGCAGGGGGCAGGAGCCCTCCAAACCCTCCCGAACAATGGTGAGAACAGGGTGGGGATGCCTCTACCCCCAAGTGCTCCCACTTTTGCTTCTGAGGCAGGATGGGGAATCTGAGGGTCACAGAAGATAGCTTCCAGCCTCCTGTCATTCTAGTGGTTCAGGAATGGGGCAGGGCAAAATTCAACCCGAACTGTGGGAAATCCGATTCCTGGAAGAGGCTTAGGCTGGAGGAAACAGAGAACCTGCAGTTACCAGCCTGGCGGGCCTGACCCCAGGAACACTCCCTTGTTATTTTGTCCATCTAGGCCAGATGACAGATCACACCCATAAAGCAGGGCAGTGCCCAAGGGGCAAAGGGTGCTCAGCTGATGTCATGGGAAGGTTGCATTCCGGGGCTCCCCAGGACTTCGCCTCCAGCCACAGCTAAAGAAGTGTAATCTAGACAGAGGGCGGGTCACAGGGTGAGGAGGAAACATACCTGCCCAATGCCATGGATAGTGGCAGTCTCCCTCCCTGGTTCCCTGGTGCCAGGGGCCAGCTAGACCCCAAGCTGGCAGGTAGCATGGTGGTTAAGGGCGCTGGACTCCCACAGGGCCGACAAAGTCCCGGACCTGGTGGCTTGAGTTCTCACTTCCCCTCTCTTTCTCTGTCCCTCTCTAGTCAAATTATAATTAACTAATTAAGTTAAATAAAATAATTCTTAAAAAAAAAAAAAAAAAATTTTAAAAAAAAAAAAAAAAAAGACAAGGTAGTCAGAGCCCAGCCTGCAGGAGGTAGGGAGACAAGAGCTCCAAACTGGGAGAGGGGGCAAGCAACATTTAGCCTGTGTAAGGGTTGCTGGAGGGAGGATGAGTGAAGACTGGGAACCACGGTTAGGCAGTGGAGACGCCCCCCAGATTCTCAATTCTCAGGGCAATTGCAGAGGGAACAGAGGGTGCAAGCACTAATGGAATGACTCAGGACCCCTAGTTCCAAGAGTGTGAAGGATTCTATGGGGGAGCAGCACCACCTGCTGGCCGAAGGGAAGAACTGCACCTGCACCATGACATCAATAAAACAGGGTGTAACCCCTGAGCCCTGAACTGAGACTGGGTGGAGGGGGACAAGGAAGCAAGCAGAATCTGGGAAGATGATCCCATCTCACCTCTAGGTGAGGGACTGTCTGTCAAGGTTTCAGGCTTGCAGGGCCCTGGCAGCCTTCCTGAGGCTCCCCAGCCCCTCCTGGCAATTGCTCACCACTCGGCACAGCAACCAACCCATTGACTCCAGAGTCACCAGTGCAGCGCAGTTTAATGCCCTCCAACCCGACAGGGCCTCCCTGTCCTCCCAGAGGCCCTCGGCCCTCGGGTACCCCTCTCCTCATACTGGAGCCCAGACAGTGTGCACAAGCACAGCCTACCATAGCACCATCTTTCCCACCCACTGCTCTGGATGCGGTCACTCCTGAGACACCCAGGGGCAGATAGAGGAGAGGGCTTCCTCTGAGGGGGAAGAGCTAGCAGTGAGGCCAGACAGTGAAGGAGGAAGAGTAGAGCTGAGTCAAGAAGGTGAACAGGAGTGATAAGGACAAAGAGCTACCAGAGGCAGGAGGCAGAAATGGCTTCTCCAGGCTAAGGCTCACTACTGAGAGGCAGGCGGACGGCTGCAGCTCTCAGGCGGGTCTGAAGACCGCACTGGAAGCTTGCAGAACATTTGCCTGAGACCTCGCGGGCAAACAGCTCTAACCCCACCGCCCCCAGCATAGTCACAGCCCAGTGATAGCAGGACCACGGCACAGGCTGTGGGCTCCCCAATAGGTGTGGCTGCTCCCCACTGCCTGCCCACCCATTAGGGACTGCATCTCCTAGAGCCAACTGAGGTGCTCTTCCTCGTAGCGCTGGGGGTCGATGAAGGGTCGGTCAATGGAGCGGATCATCAGCTCCCCACAGTACACACACTCGGCGGCCACCAGTTCATCCAGGTCGGCCTTGAGCTGTTCCCGGCTGGGCCCCCCAGTAGGGCCCCCGCCCTCAGCTTCCTTGGCCCTGGCAGAGCCCTTGGTGGGGGGCGGGGCAGCCCCCAGCTTTCGCTGCAGCTCCTCCAGCCGGGCCTGCTTGTAGGCGGGCAGGCCGGGCCGCACGGCCTGCAGCAGGCAGTCAGCATGGAACATGTGGCCACAGAGGAAGAGGTAAAAAGGGCGGTTGAGGAGGGGGAAGTCGCAGGTGGCACATTTGTCCTGGGGCTCCACAGTGCCGTAGCGGCCTCGCAGCTCCTGCAGGTCTCGCCGGATGCGCTGGGCGCTGGCAGTGGCCTCTTCCATCTCACGCTGCAGCTCCTGGATGTGGTGGTTGTAGGCCTTGAGCGAGCTGCAGATCGCCTCCTTGAAGTGGTCGATGGTGACGAAGTCGGGGAAGAAGGGCAGCACGTCCTCGATCTTGAGCAAGGGGCAGCTGGCCAGGCAGGCCATGGCCGTCTGCACGTCTTCCTCCTCCTGCACCACGTGCCTTGCGATCTTCAGCCACAGCTTCTTGCGCAGTTCCTCGTCCTCCTCGGGCAGGTCTGCACACTGCTTGGCCAGGTCCACATCCACCTGTGGGGAAACCGTGGCCGGTCAAGCTCCTCCCTGCCCAGCTTAGAGACTAGGGGAGAAACCTGGGCCAGAGGAGAGGCCCGGAGCAGGTTCCCCACACTCCTAGCAGCAAGGGGGCCAGGAGAGGAACCTATGCCTAATGGTCCTGTCCCTGTCACAGCCATCTAAAAGCTACTTGTGGCAGGGTGCGATTTTAGCGCATGTAAAAATTTCTGGGAAACACATTCCAAATACAGATTGGTGATCCCATCCCCAGACATTCTTATTCAGTCAGGCCCGAGCTCAGGCCCAGGAACGGGCATGTTAAGGCATGTTAAACAGCACTTCAGGTGATCCGAAGGCAGGTGACAATTCACAATTTGAGAAATAGTTACTTGACACCTTCTTCTGTGATCGGCCTTCCCCTTCCACTATCACGTACCTTCCACGCACTCCTCTAAGCTTTTGCATGCAGATGTTCCTCCACTTACAAAGAAGTGACACTAGTAAACCCACCCTAAGCTGAAACACTGGTGAGTTGAAATGCATTTAATACGCTGTCTCGGTGAGTGATCTGTGGCTGACTGGGGCTGTGGCTTGCTCTTGCCCAGGATGACAAGATTGCATCCTATTACAAATCACTAGCTTCGGAAAAAACGAAATTCTAAATTCTAAATACGGTTTCTAATAAACACATATTTCTCTCAAACCATCCTGAAGTTCAACAACCAGGGCCAGCCTATGGCCTGTGGTTAAGGGAGCCAGATCCCACATGGCCAACCAGGCAGTTTGAATTCCAGCCTCGGTGGCTTGAAAAACACACTGGGTGCATGTGCATGCATGCTCCGAATCCAGACAGGGTTGTGAGCTGGAGAAAGGACTGTGATGTGACCATGTCACCCTCTCTCTCTGGCAAGTACATGTGCTGACAAATTTTTTAAAATTACACATTTAGGGGACCAGCAGGTGGCGTTGTGGTTAAGGTGCTGGACACTCCCACATGGCCAACCACAGTTCGAGTCCTGGACCTGGCGACTTCTTTTCTCCCTTTCTCTCTCTCTCTCTGTGTGTCTCTCTCTGGTCAAATTAAAATAAATGAATGAAGGGGCCGGCAGGTGGCATGGTAGTTAAAGGCGCTGGATTCCCACATGGCCGACCTTGGTTCGAGTCCTGGACCTGGTGGCTTGCTTTCTCACTCTCTCTCCCTCTCTCTCTCTCACTCTGTCCCTCTCTGGTCAAATTGAAATAAACAAATGAATAAATAATAAATAAAGTTAAATAAAATAATTATTTAAAAAATAAATGAATGAATAAATAAAATTAAATAATTTTTAAAAAAAATTACACATTTAAAAATCAAAAAAAGAATAAGCCAGCAGGTGGCATGGTAGTTAAGGTACTGGATCCCAATGGTCGACTCTGCGGTTCAAGTGCTGAACCTGGTGACCTGAAAAACATGCTGGGTGCGTTGTACCCAAAATCCTGAGAGGAGGATGAAGGAGACAGGAATGCAGTGCGACTGGTCCCTAATTTTTTTTTTTAAGTATTGTATATGGAACCAGCAGATGGCATAATGGTTACATCACTGGACTCCCATGTAATCAGCCACAGTTTGCATTGTGAACCTGGTGGCTTAAAGTTCACACCGGGCATATATGCATGCATGCCCAATGTCCTGAGAGGAGAATGGAGAAGGGAATGCAGAGTGGCCATCCCCTCTAGGGGGGGTGATTTCTTGCTTTCTATCTCTCTGTCTCTCTCTATCTCTCTGGCACGCGCAAGTGCCCGATAGCAAAAATCTCTCTAAATAAACCCCTGGTACCTATATATATATATATATATATTTTTTTTTTGTGAATGTTTTTGACCTAACATATTCCAAGAGCAGGCAAAGTCCAGCGACATAGCCATTACGCTAACTGCTGGTTCCCAACTTTTTAAAAAAAGGGTTACTATAGAACACTTAATGTTGGGGCCGGCAAGTGGCATGGTGGTTAAAGGTGCTGGACTCCCACATGGCCGACTACGGTTCAAGTCTTGGACCTGGTGGTTTGCTTTCTCACTTCCTCTCTCTGTCTCTCTCTCTCTGTCTCTCTCTGAGCAAACTGGAAAATAATAATGATAATAATAATAAAGTTAAAATAAAATAATTCTTTTAAAAAAGAACACTTAATGTTTAGCTGCGCTTGCTACTGAAAGTCTTTAACTTAAGATCTTTAGTGAATCAATAAAATGTGAAAAAAGAAGGCATGGAAAACAACTGTACATACTAGAGATAGGGTGGGAGAAGGGGGAGAGTTGGCAGAGGGTGAGAGGTAGGGAATCAAGGAGGGCGGAAAAGCAAAATACATAAGAAACAAGAAATACACAATTATTTGATAATGATAACGTGTAGGGTAATATCCTTGATTGAGCCAATATACAATGTATACTGGATGGAAAATCTCATTTTGCAGACTGTATTGATGTACAGTGAATGACTGCAAATAAATAAATAAATAAATAGAATTAAACTACAAAAAAGAGAAAAACACTTAATGTTCAGTGAAGTAAGCCAGACTATGAGAGACAAACACTTCATATACCCACTCAATATAGAGCTAATGTTTGCACTCTGTGGTAAATGGAAAGCTCCAGAGAGATAGTCACAGGGATGACAAGTGTAGATACCAGAGACTGTATGGGAGGGGAGTGAGTAGTAGAGGGTGGAAGACAGGGTCTGAAGAAATAAACACTTTAAATAGACACAAGACTGTAACATTAAAACTCACAGTGGGTACAAGCATGCTTGACAAGATCCCAGAAGGAGAATGGAGAAGGGATTACTGCGTGGCCATCCCCCCTGTGGGTGAGTGGGAGTGATTTCTGGCTTTCTGTCTCTGTCTTTCTGGTGAGTATACACACCCTCTAGTAAAAATTCCTCTTAAGGGCCACCAGATGGCATGATGGATTCCCACAAGGCTAGTGGTTCAAGTCCGGGACCTGGTGGCTTGCTTTCTCACTCTCCCCACCCCTGCTCAATCCCTCTCTATCAAATGAAAAATAAATAAATAAATAAAGTTAAATGAAATAATTCTTTTTAAAAATTCTCTTAAAAATTTTATATTTATTATTACTATTATTATTTTAAATTTGCTATAGGCTATGTGCACTCACAAGAGGGAATGAGACAGAGCAGGGTGGGGCGAGAGTGAGAAATTAGCCCCCAGGGAGGATGGCCACATTGCGATCCCTTTTCCTCCATTCTTCTCTTGGGATTTTGGGCACGTACGCACATGCACCGGAGTGATTTTCAAGCCGTGGGGTCCTGAACTCCATCTGCAGTTGGCCACGTGGGAGTCAGTGCCTTAACCATCATGCCGCCTGCTGGCCCTAGAAAGTACTTTGAGAAGTCCTATGAGGCCAAAGTGGTACATTACCCCCAATCTGTGGGTAAATAACCGGAGGCAGAGAGGTTCAGAAAGCAGCTTGGTAAGTGGCAGAATCAGAACTGAAACCCCAACTTCAGAGTCTGTGTTCTCACCCTCTACATGACAGCACCTCTCTGCAAGGGAAGCCCGCACCTTCTAACCATGGCCAGAGCCACCACGGCTCTCCAAGCTCCTGTCCTGACCAGGCAGAACTCACGGGCTTACCTGTAGGGCCAGGTCCACAGCCTCCTCATACAGCTCCAGGACCTTGTAGACATGGACGCAGGCTCGGTGGTGGCCGTGCTCTGCACAGAGCCGCAGCGCGTACTTGAGGTCATAGTGCACGCGGTGTGGGCTGGCCCCTGCCTGCTCCAGGTAGGCCAGCAGCGAGGCGGGCTGGCCACGGGCGTACAGCGACAGCAGGTAGTTGTGGATGGCCTGCTCAGTCTCACCCAGCACGTTCACGCAGAACTCCATGTAGCGGATGGCCTGGCTCACCTGCTGGGCCTCACCACCCTGGCTGTAGTTCACCAGGGCAGGGATGAGCTGCCGGGCATCCAGCCGGCTGCCCAGTTCAATCCAGGCATCTACCAGCTGACGAGGGATGTGCCGGATGAGAATGGGCGAGAACTTGTAGAAGAGTTGGGGGTCCCGGTGGCGTGCCAGCACGGCCAGGGCCTCCTCATAGGCCTCGTGCTGGCAGTGGTAGGCCACCACCCGCTCGTAGTCCTGCATGATCACAGCAAAGTACACCATGTGCTCAGTGTCCCCATGACTGGCCAGCAGCTCGTGGATACGCCCTGCTGGCAAAGAGCCACTCCTTGTGGCGGGGGCTGCTGAGGAAAGCACGGAAGCGGTCCCGCGTCTCCCGGTAGAGGTTCAGGGCCTCCGGGTCGCCCTGCAGAGCCCCCAGCCGGCTCAGGTAGAGTTCCGTCAGCCAGGTGGTCAGCAGTGTGGCCTGGGTACGCTCAGCTGGCTTCAAACCAGTCAGCTTCCGCTGCAGGAACTCGGCCAGGGCCTCCTCCTGGTGGGCCTCCAAGAACTTGAGGGCGATCTCCTCGAAGTAGCTCTGGGTGAGGGCGTAGCAGCGGGCGCTCTCCAGGTAGCGACGTTGGCGGAAGCAGAAATCGGCCTCCCGGGCCAGGACCGTGTCCAAGCAGTCGGGCCGGTCTCGACAATACTCTTTGGCCAGGTCGAAGCGGTTCATGTCCAGGTAGGTGCGCCAGACATCCCGGGCCTCGCGCTGCACGTGGTAGCGGAAGACGGCGCGCTCAGTGTAGGCCCACAGCTGGCCGGTGGACGAGTCCTTCACCATGTGCTTGAGCGGCCCGAACTTCTCCAGGAAGTGATCCCGCAGCACCACCTGCCCCGTCAGCGTGCACACCGCTTCCACCCGATCCGCCAGCAGCAGCAGGAAGTGGAACTGGGTCAGGACGATGGCCAGGGGTGGGCTGGCCCCAGGACCTACCCCCTCTGGGTACTCCCAGACTCGCTCTTCGCTGAGCAGTGAGTCGGGACGCCCACAGTCCAATGCGCCATATAACACGCCGTCCCCCATCATCCAGGCGAAGGCCCGCGGCGCTGAGCGCAGCTTAGGGGTGTAGAAGGCCAACTCGCTGTAGCCCAGGTTGCTGGGAAACTCCCGGAATGGGGGTGGGTGGTCTGTGTAGGCAGCAAAGAGCCCCGAGAAGCCCTGGGCCTCAGCCCCCTCTGCAGCTCGGCCTATGAATTGGAAGAGGCGCTGTCGAGTGGTGGCGATCACAAAGCCTCGCCCATCAGGGCCCCGCTCCGCCTCCAGGGAGCACACCGGCGCGGGACCCCCCTCTTCATTCAGCACATACAACGGGCGGAAGTAGAGATCCGGGGCAGGGCCGAAAAGCCCACCCTCGCTGGCTGAGAGCTCCGCTTCGAAGATCTGGCCGTGGGCGGTACCGACCAGGATGGGCCCGGTGCCGCTCTCGGTGCCCAGCGCCTTGTTCCAGCCCACGCTCTCCACCAGCTGCCCCTTCCAGCGTGCCAGTGGCCTCACCTTCTGTCCGTTACGGTTCACGTAGAGCACCTCGGTGCTGCTCAGAGCAATCAGCAGGTGGGAGCCTGGAGCGGGGACAGAGGGGCACCCCAGAGGATGCTGCCATTCCTGCCCTCGGTTTCCGGCACCCGCCGCCCTAGGATCCTCCCCAGCCCAGGCAGTGGTCGTCCCACAGGCCCCCTTCTCCAACCATGTCTGCACTCACCAGTGTGGTCCAGGAACATCTTGTGCACTTTGGCATCGTCCTTGCGCCCCAGCTCCACTTGGTTGGGTTCATTTGCCTTGCCCAAGTCAATGCTGTGGGGACGAGAGTCCTAGAGTCACTCTAGAGAAGGCCAGATCATTTATAAAAACAGTTACAAAAGTCATGGCCTGGGACCAGCAGTTGGCATAATGGCTATGCTGCTGGACTCCCTTGTAGTTGACCACGGTTAGAGTCCCGTACTGGTGGCTTAAACGCATGCCAGGCGCGTGTGCATGCATGCCCAAGATCCCGAGAGGAGAATGGAGGAGAAGGGATTGCAGCATGGCCATCTCCATGAGGGGTGATTTCTCGCTTTCTGTCTGTCTTCCTCTCTATCTTTCTGGAGAGCCCAGGCATCCTACAGAAAAATCTCTTGGAGAAAAAAAAAAGTTACAGCCTTTCTTCCCTGAAATCTATATACACACAGAATTTTATACACAATCCTAAGGGAACCTTGAAACATACAGAGGGTCCTACTTACAAACTCTCAGCTCAGGACCAGCAAATGGTGTAATGGTTACATTGCTGGACTCCCACGGAGGTTGGAGTTCGAGTCCCAGACCTAGCAGCTTAAAACTCAGGCTGGGCACATGTGTGTGCATGCCGAAAATCTCAAGAAAAGGGGCATCACCCGTGGAGGGTGATTTCTTGTTTTCTGTCTTTCTAGCCAGCACACATTCCCTACTTCAAAAATCTCTAAAAAAGGGGACCAGCAGTTAGCATAATGGCTATGTCGCTGGACTCCCACGTAGTCGACCGCGGTTCGCGTCCCAGACCCGGTGGCTTAAACTCATGCCAGGCGCGTGTGCATGTGTGCCCAAAATCCTGAGAGGAGGATGGAGAAGGGATTGTGGCGTGGCCATCCCCCCTGGGGGGGTGATTTCTCGCTTTCTATCTCTCTGTCTCTCTCTGCCTGGCGAGTGCACGCGCCCTATAGCGAAACCCTCTCCAAAAAAAAAAAACCTCATTCTGGGCACATGTGTGGACATGCCCAAGATCCGAGAAGGGAAGGGATTGCAGTGTGGCCATTCCCCTGGAGGATGATTTCTTGCTTTCTGTCTCCCTGTCTCTCTCTGTTTCTCCAGTGAGCACAAGACCTATAGTAAAAATCTCTCGAAAAACGACTACATGAGACCAATAGCAAAAACCTCTCAAAAAATAAAAGAACCCTCAGCTCTGGGGCCAGCAGGTGAAATAGTGGTTAAGGCGCTGGATTCCCACATGGTCAACTGTGGTTCAAACCCCAGAACCAGCAGCTTGAAACCCACGCGGGGCACGTATGCATGCATGCCCCAAATCCCGAGAAGAGTATGGAAGCGGGGTGAGGCCACACGTGGTGTGGTGGTTAAGGGCGCTGGATTCTCACATGGCCAACGGCAGTTCGACACCTGGAGCTGGCAGCTTGCTTTCTCACTTTCTCTCTCACACTCTGTCCCTCTCTGATCAAATTTAAATAAATAAATAAATCCAAAAAAAAAAAAAGAGTATGGAATAGAAGGGATTGGGGCATGGCGGTGATTTCTTGCTTTCTGTCTCTGTTTCTCCTGTGAGCGCACATACCCTATAGCAAAAAACCTCTCGAAAAAAAGAACTCTCGGCTCTGAGAACTTCCCCACCTCATTTAGAGCAGTCACTAAGGAAGTCTTTCTCTTCTGCTCAAAAGCCCTGCAATGCATCTGGAACAGCCCAGACTGCTGGAGTAAGAAGGGGATAACACAACAGCAACTTTCTGAGCACTTTCTATACACCAAGTACCATGCCAAGAGCTTAGTCAGGTATTATCTCAATCTTTGCAATAATTTGAGGGGCACTTCTATTTAAATAGTTTTCTTATTCAATTCTTTCTTTCCTTCTTTTTTCTTAGTTTGTTATAGGATGTGTGTGCTCATCAGAAAGAGAAAGGGAGAAAAGAAATCGTCCCCCAGGGGGATGGTCACACCACAATCCCTTCTCCTCCATTCTCCTCTTGGGATTTTGGGCATGCACACCTCCTGTGTTTTTCTTTTCTTTTTTTTAAAAATTATTTTATTGAACTTTATTTAAATTATTTTATTGAACTTTATTTTATATTTATTTACTTTTAATTTGACCAAAGAGGGACAGAGAGAGAGGGAAAGTGAGAAAGCAAGTCACCAGGTCTGGGACTCGAACCATGGATGGCCATGTGGGAGTCCAGCACTCTTAACCACCACACCACCTGCTGGCCCCACCTCCTGTGTTTTTCAAGTCACCAAGACTGGGACTCAAGCTGCCATACGGGGTCCAGCTGCCTCAGCTAGCGTGCCACGTTGCTGGCAGTTGATTCACTGTTTTGACCACAGCATACCCTCCCATTTTATGGCCGAGCTGTACCTTCATCACCTGCTTCCTGTTACTGGGTCTTATCCTGGGGCCAGTTCTTTTTCTATCACAAATAACACTACCATCAACCCCCTTACGTCTGTATCAGTGCAAACTTTCCTTTCTACACTTTCTATTCCCCACAGTGGAATGGATGGATCAAAGTTATAGATTTTTAAAAAGAATTATTTATTTTATTTATTATTATTTAAATTGCTATAGGGCACATGCACTCACCAAAGAGAGAAAGAGAGAAAGTAAGAAAGCAAGCTGCCTTAGAACTTAGATCGGCCATATGGGAGTCCTGTGCCTCAACCACCATGCTACCTGCTGGCCCCAAGGTACAGATATTTTTAAATAATTATTTTATTTAACTTTATTTACTTATTTTAATTTGAGTTGAGAGGGACAGAGTGAGAGAGAGAGAGTTAGAGAGAGAGAGAGAAAGTAAGAAACCAAGCCACCAGGCCCAGGACTCGAACCATGGTCAGCCATGTGGGAGTCCAGCGCCCTTAACAACCATGCCACCAGCCAGCTCTCCCAAGGTACAGATTTTTGTTTTTATTATTTTCAGGGGCTGGCAGATGGCGTGTTGGTTGAGAGCGCTGGACTCTCACATGACCGACCGTGGTTTGAGTCTTAGACCTGGTGGCTTGCTTTCTCACTTTCCTTTTCTCTTTCTCTCTCACTCTGTCCCTCCCTGTTGAAATAAAATAAGTGAGTAAGTTAAATAAAACAATTCTTAAAAAAAAATAGAAAAAATTATTTTTAATTGCTGGAGGGTGCATGCACTCACAAGTGTAAGAGAAAGAGAAAGAAAGAGAAAGCACCCCTCAAAGGAGCCTGTCTTGCCACCATCCTTTTTCATCCATTTCTTCATCCCATCGGGATCCTGGGCATGCACACACACACTCACTGGGTATGATTTTTTTTTAAATTTCTTTTCTTTTTTTTTTTTTTTTTTAAAAGGTTTTTGCTATAGGGCATGTGTGCTCACCAGAAAGACAGAGAGAGACAGAGAGATAGAAAGTGAGAAATCACCCCCTGGGAGGATGGCCACACCACAATTGCTTTTCCTCCATTCTCCTCTCTGGATCTTGGGCACACACGCACATGCGCCCAGCGTGAGTTTAAGCCACCAGGTCTCAAACCACGGTTGAGTACATGGGAGTCCAGTGACATAGCCATCACGCTAACTGCTGGTCCCACCAGATTACTTATCTAAAAGATGGTGGCAGGTCAACAAGGTGGTGTGACGGTTAAGGAAAATGGACCCCACGTGGCTGACTCCATAGTTCGGGTCTAGGACAGGGAGGCTTGAAAAACACGCCGGGCATGTACATGCACACCCCAAATCCTGAGAGGACAATGAAGAAGGGATTGCAGTATGGCCATCCTCCATTGTTGGTGATTTCTCACTTTCCCCTCTCTGTTTCCAGCAACCTCACCCACCCTATAGCAAATTAAAAAAAAAAAGAAAGTTTTTCATGCTACCTCATTGAATATGTTATCGTTTAAGCTTTAGAAATGTTGATACTATATTATCTGATACATAAATATGCATACTTGCTTTGTTCATAATAGAAAGGTGTCTGTTACTGTTATCACCATAAAATATCCTTATTTATTTTGTTTTATCTTTTTTCCTTCGTGCTACCTCACCCCTGATAAACACTGTAATTCTTATTTACTTGTTTTTTGCATTTGCCTTGTATATTTTTTCCATTTTAAAATTTTTTTTAGATTTTTGGAGTTTTCTTTTCTTTTTCTTTTTTTTTTTTTTTTTTTTTTGAGTTATTTTTTCTATAGGGGGCCGGTGTTTTCTGAATAATTCTTTTTTTTTTTGAGAGGTTTTTGCTATAGGGTGCGTGAGCTCACCAGACAGACAGAGAGAGAGAGAGACAGAAAGCGAGAAATCACCCCCCAGGGGGGATGGTCACACCGTAATCCCTTCTCCTCCACTCTCCTCTCGGGATTTTGGGCACGCACGCACATGCGTGAGTTCTAAGCCACCGGGTCCAGGATGCGAACCGCGGTCGACTACATGGGAGTCCAGCAACATAGCCATTACGCCAACTGCTGGTTCCCGTAAAATAAAATAATTCTTTTAAAAAAGCACATATAAAGAAAGATGGTGGCAATTTACACTCTTGCCAACAAAGTACTAAAGTCCATTTCCCATTTCCCTGCATCTTCACCAGCACCGTTTACTTTTGCCAGTCTGATAGATTTTTTTTAGAGGTTTTTTTTTTTGTTTCCTTTCTTTCTTTTTTGGAGAGGTTTTTGCTACAGGGTGTGTGTGCTCACCAGAGAGACAGAGAGACAAAAAGCAAGAAATCACCCCCCGGGGGGATGGCCATGCTGCAATCCTTTCTCCTCCATTCTCCTCTCGGGATCTTGGGCACACACACACACGCGCCCGGCATGAGTTTTAAGCCACCTGGTCCAGGACTCGAACTGCAGTCGACTACATGGGAGTTCAGTGACATAGCCATTATGCTAACTGCTGGCCCCTTAGAAGCTATTTTAATTCATATTTGAGAGGTTGAAGATACTTTCATGTTTATTGTTCTTTTTCTATAAATTGCCTAATTGTTTTTTTTTTTTAAATAATTATTTTACTTAACTTTATTTATTTAAAATTTGACCAGAGAGGGCCAGAGCGAGGGGGCTGAGGGAGAGTGAGAAAGTAAGTCGCCAGGTCCGGGACTCAAACCGCGGTTGGCCATGTAGGAGTCCAGTGCCCTTAATTACCCTTCTTTTTTTTTTTTTTTTAAAGAGATTTTTTTGCTATAGAGCATATGTGCTCACTGGAGAGACACAGAGAGAAACAAAGAGGCAGAAAGCAAGAAATCATCCCCTGGGGGGATAGCCATGCTGCAATCCCTTCTCTATTCTCCTCTTGGGATTTTGGGCACACGGTGTGAGTTTAAGCCTACTGGTCTGAGACTTGAACCTCAGTGAATAAAGTGGGAGTCCACCAATGTAACAATTACACCATCTGCTGGTCTCACCTGTTTATATTCTTTATGCTCCCTTTCCCACTGAATAGTTTTTTTTCTTATAAATGTGTAGAGTTTTTTGTTTTGTTTTGTTTTTTTTTTAAAGGGATGTAAATCTTGTTGCTGGAGTGAAACAAACATTATTTTCCCATCATCTTTTGTTTTGACCTCATTCCTAGTGCATTTTGTTTTGTAGTAACAATTATTATGTAGCCAGACATATTTTTTTCCTTGAAGGAGAAAGCTTTCATTTTCTAGCTTGAGTAAGGTCTCTGTTTAGCCTGAAAGCATCAAAATTTATTAAATATTCATGGGACCAGCAGATGGCATAATGGTTGTTGCTGGACTCCCACGTAGTTGACTGTGATTCAAGTCCTGGACCTGGCAGCTTAAAAACTCATGCCCAGGGTGTGTATGTATACATGGCTAAAATTCTGAAAGGAGATTGGAAGAGAAGGGACTGCGGTGTGGCCATCCACCCGGGAGTGATTTCTCACTTTCTGTCTCTCTGTCTCTCCCTTTCTGGCAAGTATACACGCCAAAATCTACAGCAAAAATCTCTCTCTCCAAAAAAAAAAAAAGTATATTCTGGACCAGCAGTTGGTGTAATGGCTATGTTGCTGGACTCCCATGTAGTCAACCGTGGTTCGAGTCCTGGAACCGGTGACTTAAACTCATGCCGGGCATGTGTGCTTGTGTGCCCAAATCCTGAGAGGAGAATGGAGGAGAAGGAATTATGGCATGGTCATCCCCCTTGGGGAGGTGATTTCTAGCTCTCTATCTCTGTCTTTCTGGTGAGCTCATGCACCCTATAGCAAAAAGCTCTCCAAAAATAAATAAATAAATAAATATTACATCTAAACTGTATTTTTGAGACAGACAGATAAACAGTTTGCTGAGACCTCTGTCATGCATTACTTCCCTTTACGGCAGATATATTCCAGGACTCTAGACAGTTCCAGTGTGAGAAGAGGGTGAGCTCATGCACCCTATAGCAAAAAACTCTCCAAAAATAAATAAATAAATAAATATTACATCTAAAATGTATTTTTGAGACAGACAGATAAACAGTTTGCTGACACCTCTGTCATGCATTACTTCCCTTTACGGCAGATATATTCCAGGACTCTAGACAGTTCCAACGATCTATGTGATTAACCTGTAAGCTGCTACTACCTTTAAGAGATGAAAGAATTTTTTTCAAAACTTTGCTATAGGGTATTTGTGCTCTCAGGAAAGGGACAGGGAAAGTGAGAAAGCACTCCAGGGGCATGACCACACCCATCTCTCTCCTCCGCTCTCCTCTCAGGATTTTGGGCACACACACGCATGTGCCCAGTGGGTCTGAGACTTGAACCACACTGCTGGCCATGTGAGATCCAGCTGCTTTAACCACCAGTCACTGGCTGGCCCCAAGTAATATGTTTAGAGATTAAGTGACTTGCTCAACATTCCACAGCTGGTAAGTGGTATAGCTAGGATATTAATCCAGGTCTAAGTCTTAACTACTATGCTATATTTGGGAAAGGATAAGTATTACCGACAATCCCACTGCTTTACTTGCCCAGCGCGGAGGAAAGGCCCCGGTCATTTGAAAGTTCCCAAATCCCCACTCACTCCCACCTCCTAAGCCTTTCGGACCCTTGGTTACCGGAGCAGTGTATCCTTGCCCAGGCTCATGCAGAGCTGATTGCAGGAGACCACAAGACTGGTGATACGTTCAGAAGGGGTATAGTCAATCCGCTGCTTCGTGAAGATGGGCACGTCCTTCTCCAGCTGGGCATTCACATACCCTACCATGAGAAGTGAAGAAATGATTAGCCATGGAAGAGACACAGCAAGGGCAAGGAGAGGCAAAACAAAACAAAATTAAGCAAAACAGGGACCAGTGGATGGCATAATGGCTGGTTGCTGGACTCCCATGTAGTCGACCATGGTTCGAGTCCCAGACCTGGTGGCTTAAACTCATGCTGGGCACGTGTGCGTGCGTGCCCAAGATCCTGAGAGGAGAATGGAGAAGGGATTGTGGCGTGGCTATCCCCCTTGGAAGGGATTGTGGTGTGGCTATCCCCCCTGGGGGTGTGATTTCTCACTTTCTGTCTCTCTGGCAAGTGCATGCACCCTACAGCAAAAACCTTTCAAAAAAATAAATAAATAAAAAGCTCAGGACAAAGAGAAAATAAAATAAAAAACCAAAACCTGCTCCTTTCCACTTTCTTCCACCCAGGATTTGGTTAACAAGCAGTTTGCTGGTGATCTCCACATTAGGGTCTTGGACTTTTCTCACACTTCTGACAGCAGTAAGGAATTGATTCTCTGTTCTACTTTCTAAGTTTTTGCCTCAGGGTGTGTGTGCTTACCAGGGAGACGGACAGAGGGAGAATCACCCCCCCCCACACACACACACAGAGGATATGATCACACCATAATCCCTTCTCCATTTCTGCATCCTGTTGTAATTAGGAACATGCACACACACATGCGCTCACTGTGTTTCGTCCTTTTCAAAAAATATTTGCTATAGGAAGCATGAGCTCACTGGAGTCAGATGGAGAGACAGCGAAAAAGTACCCTCCCGAGGGGGAGACCATGCCGCAATCCTTTCTCATCCATGTTCCTCTTGGGATTTTGGGTATACACACACACACACATGTGCCTGGTGTGTTTTTCAGTGCTGCTGGCTTTGGGACTTGAAGTGTGTGCTTGGCCATGTGGGATTTCAGTCGCCCCAACCACCATGCACTGGTTGGCTCCATTCACAATATGTGTTTCAAGCCACCTGGTCTAGGACTTGAACCACAGGGTTGGCCTTGTAGGATGCGGCTGCCTTAACCACTAGGCCACAGAGCTGCCAGGGAGTTGATTCTTTGAATTCTTGAGATGCTGTTACAGAATGATGCACCTGCTTCAGTAGTAATGGAGTCCAGCGCTATGGAGGGTGGTTTGGGCATTCTCCCCAGCAGCCTGTGACCCAGCAATCCCAGCCTACTAAAGCACTCTGGCTCCAGCCTCTCCCGGCTCCCTGCCCTAATGAGACTTAGTGAAGTGTGAGAAGAATGAGAGCAGAGGGGGCCCTGGGGAGCCATTCCAACCAGTGACGTTAACAGCAGTTCTCTCTCTAGTCTACCTCCACTCAAAATGCACTAGCACTCTGCCAACTTTGCACTACTTTCTACAGACATTTCTAGTCAAGGCCCCAAATACCTCATCTCCATTTCTCCTTGTTCAATGACAAAATTCCCTCTAGGACCATCCCCCCTTCCCTTTTCAACATCCTCCTCCCACCTCCAGAAGAGGCCTGGTGGGAAAAAGCACAGAATCGGGCATCAGGGCATGCCTGGAGACTATTCTCACTTCTCCCAACGGCCCAAGTGCGGTCTTGCGGTCAAGCACTTCCTCATCTGGACCCCAGTTCCTGCTTAGAAGGACCCTAGCGTAGGGCCTGGAACACGGGGCTGCTCTCCTGGCTCTTTCAAGCTTCAACCATGCACAACTGGGCGCCAAGAAAGCCTGAGGCGAATCGGGGCCTACATGCGGAATGCACGTCCCGTAGGTTGAACCCGAGCTCTTGCAGTTGCCCTTCCCGCTCTCTTCCTGCAGGTACTTGGAGAGCCGAAAGGGGCAGTGGGGCTCTCCCTTTCCTTACCCGAGTGGGGGATGCCCACGCTAGGGCAGCCGGGCTGCAAGGCGGCGGAGCGAGACAGTGAGTCCTCGTACTCATCCAGGATGGACGCCATGGTGCCCGGCCTCTGAGCCCTTCACCAGGGGCCCGAGGATCACAACAGGGTTCCCCTCTGAATCCCCGTCGCCCCGGATTGAGAGCTGTGACTGTCCAGTCTCTGACAGATCCTCAGAACCTGCCGCCGCTTCTAAAGTGATGATCTCGCTCTCACCTTACAGAGCATGAAGATCGAGGAGCCGCCCCCCCTAAAATCTGGCCCAATTCTGCACCCCACTCCCGCCCACAAGAGATCACCGGCTCCTTCAGTTGATCCCAGGTGATCCCAACCTCGCCCCGGCAGCTCAGCTGACTCCCGCCCCCGTGACGCGCGCCTATAACGTAACTTCCGGGTTCTCAGGTCCCTACGTACGCTCCGCAGAACGGCGCCCGAGGGCCCCTGGGAGGTGCGGCCAGGGCTGCGGGGCGTGGCGGGGGCGTGGCGTGGCGTGGCGTGGCGGGGG